TTCATAAATCATGCAGCTTCTCCTTCATGATCTCCTTCTCCTTGTTCAGCCATAGTAATCAGGAAGGGACACAATGAAGCTTAGAAGCAATATCGCGATGTACGAACATATCCCCGATAAGGACATCGATAAATATAGCCACATCGTGATAATCACACACCCCAGGTAGCATTTGACATCCAACGTACATCCGCATTTGCTCTTCACATCCGCAAGTATGCCCTAAGGTATGATGGATTTCCGGTGGAGATCATCCGAAGGAGTTGACTGGCTTGATTGGTAGCGAGCAGAGGCTTTGAATCCAGTGAGATGTCACTTTTTTTTCTCAGGTTCGTCCGCGGACATGCGATGGACGTTCGAATTAGAAGCCAGGGTGGATGTCCACTGAACGTCCATAGGATGTCAAGCATGTACTTTGAGGCCTTCCATCAGTCCTGACATCTGGCAGCATATTTTATTTATAAAAAAAAATCAAGTTCCGGCAATATTAGGGAGGTCGCTCTGAGCTAGCCGCTGTAGGGTAGTGTGGAGCTAATCGGTCAAATTTTTCATTTTTCTTACTCCACAACCAATTATAATTATAAGAAATAATAACACAGAAAAACCTTTGGAACCTCAAACGGCCATGTCATTTAACTACTTATTCAGCCCAAAACGAAATCTGGAATATTGAAATATTAGCTTAGAGAATTAAGAAATTAGCATGTGGTCGGCGTGACCGATTAGCTCCAGGGGGTGGGACTATTCGGTCACTTGTATTCCGAGTCAGTGTTTGCTCCATTCCAGGGACTGGCAGGTAAAAGAAAAACACTTCCCAAAGTACGGGTAAGCCTATCGGGACGGAAAAGCCTCAACCCACCCTATGAATTTCCAAATGAAACATAGCAAAACCTCGATATTCGGCACAAATAAAAACAAATGTCGTTCTTCTCTCCTTCAACCCCTTGATCCCTCTGAGCTATCAAGCTCGATTTGCTAGATGGGCTTGTTAAGAGTCTGCTTTTTGGACGGCTTGCGAACGATCTTCGTCTTCTTGCATTTTCTGAAATTGTTGCACTATGCAATAGCTCATGCCTTCTAGTATCAACGTGAAGATAATAAAATAAATGAAAGAAGGGGTTTTTGAGGGAAAAAAATTTCCGTTTCCTGGAAAATTTTCTGGAAAATGACGAAAGTTGTCAATTAATATCAAATTCAATACGAATGATAGAAATGCCAAAGGGAACAAGACAGGCGAAATTGTGCAGTTTAGGAAAATATATTTAAATCCATATGGGATTCACATTTAACTGACTAAAAAAAATCTCCATAAACCAACAAATTCAGCAGTTTCGCCCATTTTGAAATGTAAAAATTACGTGTTTAGGAAATGATAACACCTTATTTTTATATGGCTATACAATACGTACTTTCAAGATAGCAGTAAATTATTTTCAGAAATCTATGTTCATTAGTTTAAAAGATAGAACAAATTGAAAGAGGGGGAAAACAGGGATTTTGCAAATCGCCCGTTTTAGAGCCTTCCACTTATAAATTTCTCTCTCAGAAACTATTGCAGATGCATTAAGTAAATAAGCTAACATATTTCATCTCTCGGATCACATATTTTTTTGGAAAAAAATTCGAAGACTATGACCTGATAGGCCGTGCCTGATTTGAAATGGAACCACTCGATTCATTTTCTGTGTGCCTAAAATGGAGGTTTTGCTGTGCTTCATTCAAATTAGTACCAAATCGGAAAATTATAGTGTGGTATGGGGCTTTTTGGTCCCTATAGGCCTACCTGCACTTTGGGAAGTGTTTTTTCTTTTACCTGCCAGTCCCTGGAATGGAGCAAACACTGACTCGGAATACAGGTGACCGAATAGCCCCACCCCCTGGGGCTAATCGGTCAAACCGACCACATGTTAATTTCTTAATTCTCTAAGCTAATACGAGGTGCGTTCAAGTTCTAAGGTCTCCTAATTTTTTTCTGACAAACTACTCACACCAGAAAGTTGAAACTTCTGTCACTTCTCAACATAATCTCCCTGTAGACGAACACATTTTTCACAACGTCGACGAAGAGTACCCGCGTATTTTAAGCTCAAACGCATGTTTCTTTCTGCACCCGGTCCCCAGAAAAAAATTAGGAGACCTTAGAACTTGAACGCACCTCGTATTTCAATATTCCAGATTTCATTTTGGGCTGAATAAGTATTAATAGTTGAATGACATGGCCGTTTGAGGTTCCAAAGGTTTTTCTGTGTTATTATTTCTTATAATTATAATTGGTTGTGAAGTAAGAAAAACGAAAAATCGTGACCGATTAGCCCCACACTACCCTACGTATCTCGATTCACCTGATGTACTAGCTAGTTCTTCAGTGGTATTTATCCTGTACTCGATATTTTCCTCCGCACAAGCAGAAGAAAGTTGATGCAATAATAGAGTACATTTGCTGAGAAAGGAAACTGCTTAACGATACACCAGGCAATTTTTGAGCAGTGGAAGGAGAGAGGAGAACTCCCCTTGTCAGATGGGTCCAGATGTAATTATCATTTATTGATTTATTGTTTTACAAGTTTTCCAAAGCAAAATGAATGTCAATTGCATATTTATAGCAAAACAGAAATTTCCCTTTGAAGGAAGGAAGGAAGTTAAAATGAACTGGATGAGATGGGAGCTTTCGTTTCCGCATTAATATGGACGCATTCTTCTCCAAAAGAAAATAAAAAAGTACCCTGTTAATTACAGGCTAGTGTGGACTATGCACACCGCCTTTTGATTGAGAATCTGCTCGTCCACCTTTCACATCGCCCAGCGAGCATGTTTTTTTCTTCTATTTAAAAAAGGAATGCATTACTCCATCTGATGTGATAGCAACGTCCTCTGAAAATGTGTCCTTATGTTCGCACACTGAAAGAGAAACACAAAGCAATCATGCCTCGAAATCCAAGAGGTGTATGATACAGAAGAGGATGATCGGAAAAATATTTTAACGTTCAGCACAATCTTGAGCCACAGAAAAATTGACGATGGAGTCGGGAGTTGGTGGGTAGAGCTTAGGCGGAGAAGAATCCACTTCGTCGAGGTCCACCCACTCGCAGCACAGAAGTCAGTCCAACATCGCCTCGCCTCAATTTCAGAGAACTGCGTACAATTGTTTAAATATAGATTTCATAATATACTTATAAATGGACTGAAGGATCACTCATCCAAGCAGCGTGATCTTTTCCTCACAATTCCTTCATATTTTTACATTAATGGATATTTTAACATTCATTAGTGGAACGGATATAATTGGGTTAATTTGGATCTTAGACCCCTTATTCGAGTCCCGAGGTTCATTAGACTTTCGCAGAATCGTCCTTTTCGGTGTTCTGCCACTGTAATATGGGGTCATTTATGTGCCCACTTTCCCACATTATTTAATATCTTTGGCCATGCATTCTAAGGCGGCGACGAAGCTACAGCTTCAAAATATCCCCATTAGGTAATCCTATTCAACACATTAACGATATGTCAACATTGAGAAACATTTGAAATGAGTTGACATAGTACAAGGTAAACAAATCAACAGGAATAAAATGCCTATTATTCCTAATGAACAGCATTTTCAGTATATTCGGACTACTCTTGCCTAGTGAAATCGTTTGGAGATACGAAGTGCTGAATCTTTTTTTTTTTTACCTTTGCCATTAGCACATTCTCGAAAGAAAATTGATTTTGCCTACCGACTTGACGTGACGCCTAACCGTCAACTGAGAGATTCTCACCCTGACGTCACAAGAATGAGTCTCCGGTATTTTCATACGGTTCTCTATCTTTTCCCACTTACAAGTAAGGGAATGGTTCGGAATTCCTGAATGGAACCGATCGAAGAAGTTACCTGTCCCAAGGAGATTCCAGACTTTTTTTTAAGCTCTGAGAATTAGAAGATTCAAATGATACAAGATCGGTCTTCATATCAGCGCATCTTTAAAAAAAGCAAGGATGCAATGTCAAGACGTTGATAATTCAATGTTGATCCAAAGTGACGCATTGAGAGTATTTTCAGCATTGAACTTCGTTTCATTTCGACATCGCTGAGGCATTGAGTCAACCTGTTACACAACGCTGTGGCAGCATCGCTACGGCAAAAAATCAAACCTTGCTCAAAATCGGCACAGCGTTGTTGTGCTGAATGGGATTCTTCAAGTTGCATCATCCTCCCAATCGTAGTGCAGAGAATGTGCTCAAGCAAATGTGACTGCAATTGATGCATAAAATCGAGATTCTCAGTGGAAGACTTTCGAACAGGTGTGAAACTTAAGATCTTTTAGTGAAATGCGTGCTGCATTGCATGACATTCTTGCTTATTCTTCTCCAACCTTTAGGAAAAGCACAAAAGAGGAATCGGCAAAATAAGAGTTTTCTTCCACGTGGGACTCCTTTTCATTGATTATCTGAGGTGCCAACTGAAACCTTTTTATTAAAAATAAAATTAATGCGAATTGATAATTATATTCCCCTTCCAATTGTTCTCTTTAATCCTCTCCGTTCCCGCGATTAAAGCATAAGAATTCCTTGTAAAAAGTAATTCGGTGGCACCATCGATTGGGAATCCGTAAAACTTAGAAAGTCAATAAAATCGGTCCATCCATGCCGTTGCAATGAACCACATAACCCACATGAACCCTTTACCTGAGGTTCGATTGGCCCCTTTGCATCATAATCCCACAGGTGACTTCCCTTTCCAAAGGAGTCTCTTTCCCTCTTTTTGGATTCCCTAAAGGGCTGAGAAAGAAAAATAAGAACCCCCCCTTAATTTTCTTTATGGGAGGGGGTCCCATAAAGAAAATTAAGAAAACAAAAGGGCAGCCACGAGATGTGCACACACAATCACAGGTATGCAAAGCACTTTGAGGGTAAGAATACCAAGAGAGAAGCTTTTAATCGTGACTCGTGATATTTTAAGAAATGAACTGCATTTTTTCTGGACCGAGTATGCGCGAATCCCATGCCCGAATGATCTTGTCTCAACGGAATATGGGCGAACCTGGTGACGTCAAGACGGTACGCTTGTCTTGGGATCTCCGACACAGCTTCTTCTTCCAACAGATGCTCAACGCCTGCCGGAAACCTTCGCGGAAATTCCGCGACATGAACCCGTAGACGATTGGGTTCACGCAGCTGCAAAGAAAAATGATTTCATCTTCTGAATGTGAGACGCCAACGCTTCTCATCTATCCCAGATGCTAGGATTAACGACGAAAGTTGATGACATATTTGAACTGCGAGAGGTCATTCTCGTGAAATCGTTGAGGATTTGATTTAGTATGTGGCTCTATTAACTTCTGAACACGATCTTTTCCCAAGTGTAACTGACTTCGATTGCCGCGTAATGCACTGAAGTTGATTGAATGTCCCGTCGTTCCACCTTCTATAGCTTCTATTTTGCGATTGCGTTAAGATTATTTCCAATCCAATCAAGCAGTTGACATGCAATCTCTGTTATCGTGACAGGATGTCAAGGTTCTTTCTCACTCAATTAGCCTTTCTTCCGGATAAGCGCACAGGATTTCGAGGCTTCCATCCCTCAATGAGAGAGGGAAAGGGATGCCGGAAATGTCTTCATAATGGCAGTATTATGACATAATGGCAGTATGGCAAATCCTCATCTTCCAGAAATAACAGCTCGTTTATTTTGAAGACAAATCGTATTACATGAGCGCAATCTCGTATCGAGACAGTGGCTTCTAATGAAATAAGAGCCTTTTACGTATATTGCGTGCTCCCTGGTGAATATGATAAAATGATACATGTGTGGTTCAATATCAAGTCAGACAGCCTGAAAAAAAAATTTCAGGTCATAGCCCCCGAACTTAACCACGTAGAACTTTGAAAATAGATTCACGCTCACATGGCAGTACGTACTGTGTACGAGGTGTGACAAAAAAGCTTAATGACTGAATTTTTCATGGGCCTGTCAACATCAAAGATATTATTGTTATATTGCGGATTGATTGACATCGAAGATGACTGGTGCAGCCATCCATTGGGTGTTATTGGTGGTGGTTGGGAATGTGGTGGATATGAATGTCTTTTCTACTAGCTGAAAGCTTTGAAAACCATTCGAAATTCTTGGAGGCAACCTGCCAATTCAATTATTGCAACATTTGATAGATCGCTGCAGCTGCACTCCTCGATTTGAGACAAAATTTGATGAAGCCATACTCTGGGAATACGACAGACGCTTTACACACTGAGTAGCTACATAGTCTGCCAATCTCTCATTCACGGTGCTCGTCAGATCTAAACTCACCCAACACTACGCAACAGTTTAATATATCAGTTTACTAGCAGAGGTACCCGGCGTTGCACGGGTGAATATTGCATACGTTCCATATTTGTCCGCACTAAATAAGGTGTCCCGAGGCAGGGCCGGATTTAGGGGCAGGAGACCCAAGCGACCGCCTGGGCGAGGGAGAGGAGAGGAGAGGGGAGGGGGGCCTTGGTCTTGGGCCGGTCCGACCCTGCCCTGCCCTGCCCTACCCTGATGGGTCTGAATTACAAAACACAACCTAGCATATTACCATCCCCGGACCAAATGATTAAGCCATGCAGAGTTTGGTCGGGCTGGGATCCACGGCATGGCCATGGCCGTGCATGAAGGACAGACAGAGAGACACACAAACATTCAGAAATATAGTATAGAAAGTATGGAAGACTGCACGAAATAAGGCATCCCGGGGCAGGGCTGGATTTAGGGGCAGGCGACCCAGGCTACCGCCGGGGGCGGAGGGGGGAAGATGCTCCTCGCCTAGGGGGCGCCATTTGATCTAGGGTCGGCCCTGCTCCGGGGGGTCCGAATTTTGAAACACCAACTAGCCTATGACTGCCCCCGGACCAAATGAGGAAGTTATGCAAAGTTTGGTTGGACTGGGATCAGAGGCGTTGCCGTGCATAAAGGACAGACACACAAACACTCTATTATACAGGGTGGGCCACTTAAAAGTAGCCCGCCTCCTATAATACTGCATAGGAGGCAGGCTACTTTTAAGTGGCCCACCCTGTATAATAGTAATAGATAACATGACAATAATTTCTGTGTTGTTGACACTCCAAAAAAATACAGTCTTTGGGAAAAAATGTTTGTTACATCTCGTGTTTATGCAGCATGGAGCACTGACATCTTCATCATTTCATGAAATAAATATTCAAATGTTCAGAGCGTGATTTGACTGTGGTCACTCTACGTATTGAAATGCATGGGAGGCTGAGAAAATCTAATTTCCAAGAAACGTAATGTGGGGACAACTTAGTGTTTGAAGAAAAAGTGAATACGTGATGGTGAATAAGAAGCATTTAATCTACTTTGCATTCCAAATACGAAGAATAAAGAAAGGAAAGGAATAAATTAAGGGCTACATCTTCTTTTCCCTATGGAAAAAGGATAAGGAAAAAGGATTTCTATTCCACATCAATGTATGGATCCTCATTTCTCTGTTCTATGAAAGTCTCTAGATTTTGGTTGTCGGTGAGGTCTCTGCAAATAGCGTTCATTACATTCACAACCCCAGGCGAGAACTTAATGATAAATATTGATCAAGAACAGCAGACCTGTTGAAGTAAGCCATGAGGGCAAAAGCGAGCCTCATGTGCTTCAACACCGCAGTGGAATGAAGTTCATCGATGACGTCGAAGGAAGTGAGGACATTCTCGATGAGTGATGGACCCCAGGAGAGGAGGAATAGCAGCACAACCACCACCAACATCCTCACCACCTGTGGCATCATCAGATATTTAGTTTAAAGCTAACTGGCATCTTCGTCGCCTGCGACACGATGAAATACCCACCTTTGACATTATGAAATACTCAGATTGCAACCAACCGCCTGGAGCATCTATAAATGCTGGCATGAAAATTATAGGGGACGGACGACATGAGGGGCTATTCAAAAAAAGCCCGAATCTGGTGATCTTTTCTTCTCGTAACCAAAATTTAATGTACTCACCCTTTTCGATAGAATCTAAAGATCTTTCGCTCGGTTTGAAATTCCTCCTCACCCTCAACTTTCATTTGGGGAGGAAAATTCAACATGGGCATCGATCTTTATGGCCCCCCACGCACGCTGGAGGCGCCCCTTGCAGCAGCATCATTAAATACTCGATTCTCTGGTATTCAATATCCTCACCGCCTGTGGCATCATGAAATTCCCTGTTCACGTCTAGTCAATACCCTCGTCACCTGGCTTCACCATCCGACTTCATCGGTGCATGAGACTATCAATGGGTGCAACACGTGAACGGAAAATGAGAGCGCAATGTCGGAGAGAAGGCTTTGGAAAAGATTAAACGTGTTGTGGCTTTGCCTGCCCTGCTATAAACATTTTCGTCATCACCTGTCGAGATGTGGCTGCGTCTTCCTCCGTACATCGGGATACCTTTGTGCTGGTATCGTTCCCCCGACGAGAATCTTTCTCACATCCTCTATCTTCTTCATAATCATTCCTATGGGAAAGAGAAATAGAGAAACTTATTAGCAAAGTTGCAAGATAGGATACTGGATCTTTGTGAATACATAGAGGGTGGTAAAAAAAAAAGTGCTCTATACTTTTCTCATGAAGTGACCATCCATTTATTAGGGGATATTACGTCTTCTTGTATGGATTCTGCTTGTGGGATTTCCTGGGGGGAAAAGTGAGAGCGAGTGAGGGATGGTGACGTTTTGGGAAGGGATTCAAAACATGAACGCACTCTCTTTCCCCTTTTCCTTTTGAGACTGCCATCATCTTAGAGGGGTTCATACCTGTTCTGCCAGTTCTCATCCTATCTACCTTCCTACTTCTACAATCGATGAGGGACTCAAGTTCTCCTCGCAAGCGAAAGTGACGGTAGCTAAATGTATTCTAAACGCTAAATGCTAAGGTAAAAGCTAAATGGATACAGGCTTCAGGGGTGGAAAAAGTTCAGTAACCTGGTAACCAGGTTACCGCGAAGGGTAGCGACCGATCGGGAAGGTAAGGGAGGGATAAAAAATAAATAAATAACTGAGAGAATGAAAGCAATGGGGGGGGGGGGGGGGAAGAATAAAATAATGCTAAAAGAAAGAGAGGGAAGACGAGAGATAATCGGGGTGTTTTGGATGAGAGATGGTTATGGATCGAAATAAGGTAAATGATGACTGCGACAAGATAGCAGAACCGGGAAGACATCTCCAAACGACTGACGTCGGTAAGTTCAGGGACGAGTACATGGTTTTTTTCTCCGAAAGGCAAAAAGATCTCGGTATTGCTCATTCCCTCGATCCTGGGGTTGTAGGTTCTCGCCCCAACGAGGAAGATGGGGGAGAAGTAAGACACCTCTAAAATTTGCCTGATCGTAACGAAGAGGCGGCCTTGTCATCAAAAGGGATTATGATTATGATTTTGAATTTCACGAGGCGAGAGATACTCATCTCGAATTAGAATTAAGTGGCGTCTTGCGCCTCGGAAACTTCTTCCTTTGCTCTTTCATCGATCGGTCGGCAGTCGGTCTCGGATTACAGGTTACCTGGCTTTCCGCCGACAAATTAATTGATCCTTCGCGTCTCATTTCAAGTGACGTTATTTGACCCCAAAGTTGGGAGAATACATTGATCTCCATTCCCCATCGGAGCGCTGTCCAATCCGTAGCGTTCGCATTTGCTACATATCGAATTTTCCTGACTCAGATGAACGTCTCTCTCCCTTAACACGAATATTGCGACTATTGATGTCTAATCCAAGGAAAAAAACACGAGATGAGAGGGAGTTTCTGTCCCGTCCATCGATGGTCTGGCCTGATTTCCAACTCTGGGTTTTCCTCATTTTCTTCTCATTTTCCTCTAGTTCTCTCGTACTCTTCAAGTGTTAGTCCATCACGCTGTAATGCAATGGTCGGCAACTGAATTCCCCGGAGAGTGGAGGGATAGTTAAATGCTGGATGGTTAAATGGTCGAACGGCCAACACCCATCAGGCATCATTCAAATGAAAATTTTAATGGACGTCTAAAGTCAAATATGCAGTTGAATATCTGCTGTCAGACCGTAATATACGATATCAAAACATCAATAGCAACAATAAAATCAATCAACATTAATCATCGCAATAGTCATGATATTAGGGAAACAGAGCGACACCCATCCGAGTATTAAAAAATTCGATACATAGCAAACGCGAACGCCACGGTCCAATCTCATTCCGCAACTTCACCTACGTGGTTCCTGTGCCAGACCTGGTGCGCAGCATTCTATGTATCTTGTGCAGTTCTTGTGTTCTGTCGACTCGTGTGCATCTCGTCACTGAGAGGATATCTGCTGGTGCCTAGCGACGAGGTGCCCTAATTGAACTCTCGACCCAAATCAGCAAGCATAACACGTGAAAGTTACGTGCCGTTTCAGAGGTTGCTCGCCGACTGAATAGACAGAATTCAATAGAATAAATATTCCAGTACAGAAACGAAAATATTGATCGAAGTGCTCCTCCGCGGAAAAACCTTTAAAGACCCTTTCGAATGACATTTCTTCAATTTTAATAAATGCAAAGAACTTCTCAGGGGACAATGCCCTTCAAGGGGTGCAATCCCGACTAGAGTAGAAAAGTTCATGGACCTTTTTTGTACTTAGAACGCTTGCACCTAAAATCGGCATATTGCTATTTTATGAAGATGGCAAGTCTACATGACATTCCATCGATTTCACAGGCTGGCAAACCTTGCCAGAGCGGAAGTAAACAAAGATGGCCGAGGGCCTTGTGAGAGAGCAGCGGATTGTGATAAAATTCCTCGTGGCCGAGGGTGAGAAGGCCGCATCCATGCACAAACGGCTACGAAATGTTTTTTTAAGGACAAATTTGATGCTCCAATCGATCGACTGAAACGCGGGTGTCACCCACGACTCGTGTTCGTCCGGCTTTAGATCGTTCCACCCACTTGAAAATCGCTCTTTTCTTCAAGCATTGGTCCCCATGAACATTTCGCAGCCGTTGATGCATGGATGAGGCCTTCTCACCCTCAGCCGCAAGGAAATTTGTCACAATCCGGCTGCTTTCTCACAGGGTCCTCCGCCTTGATTTACCTCCACTCTGGTAAGGTTAGCTAATATGCGAAATTTATGGAATGCTATGTATGCTTTCCATAATCATAACTACAAGATGCCTATTTTAGGTGCAAGCGTTCTAAGTATACAAAATAAAGTCCACGAACTTTTCTACCCCCCGCCGCTCGTATAAGGGTTTTCATGCCTAGTTATGGCTTAAAATTGATTTTTTTGCCATCCCCCCAATTTTGCCTCTGCTCAGTCCTGGGAACCACAGGGTCACTTCACACACCTGTTAAACTGGGAAGGTAAACTATGGTTACCGGAAAGGAGAATAACTTTTTCCACCTCTGCTAGGCTTTATCCAAGTTCCATTGTAATGAGAGTTTGCGCGTCATCGGAAAGACCCAATTTAGAGAATTGCGTTCAATTTTGGAGACCTGCAAATAAATGTGCACTAATGGCGCTCGGCAGGGTCCAGAGGCGGACTCCGAAAATGATCAAGGAGGTAAGAGAACTTCTATATGATAGACGTTTAAGAGGTATTGGTATTGTACTCGCAACAGAACGGGGGAGAGAACTAACTCAAGCTTCGTTAACCTCATGTGAAGCTCAGGTTGCAACATGACGTATTCACTATTAGAGTAATAACGCGTGGAATAATTAAATGACGATGTATGGCCTGTCTCTTTCTTGACTAGCGTCAAGAAGTGGCATCTGCCTTCATGAACAAAGCAAAAAAGGGGGCAATGTAGATCTAAGTGGCTGGACAGTAGGTGGATTTGCTCCCACAAAAATATCTATCTTTAATCTTCATCCGGACAAGGTGGAGGACAAGGACAGTTGGACTCAGAGCCACATATTTTTCTGTTGCCCCATTTCTCTGCCCCATGCTGTCCTGTCATTTTTATTACTCTGCACCATTTCATCATGTGCAAGACTCCATTATCTGTACAAATATGAACCACTTTTAGACCAAACCCACGGTGAAAACGGTAAGAAACGTGTGGATCCCATTGGAGTCGCATGTCCGCTTACGTTACAAAAATATATTGTTCGCATAAGGGTTAAAAAGGGTAGGCCCATAGAGTGTATAAATGGAGGGGCCTCCTCTATGGCGCGAGGCGCTGCACCCTTCCAGGCGCGGCCGCCATCTTACTGAAGTTGCACGAGCAAGGAGTTCATAGCAGACACATGGAGAGGGGGAGGGCAACAGAGGCAGCTTGCCCCGAGCTATATGTCTGGGGCCCGTTCCTCGCCTCTGCTAAACTTAAATCCAAATCTAAATCTAAATCTAAAAGCAGTATAAAATCAGTCTAAAAGCAAAAAGTCTATTCTTCGCCCTGACCCTTTAGACTAAGATTTCGTCTAAGATTTAGATATTGATTTAGATTAAATTCCTGCGACTGATCAGGGGAAACTTCCATCTATTTATATTAGACCCCATTATATTATACAGGGTGTCCCAGAAACCCCGCACCAAATTTTGTAAATCATTATGTCTTTATTTTTTCTCTGATGGAAATGAGTTTTGTATCCTTCGAAAGCCTAGATCTTTCTTAACAACTGCTGTTAAACTCGACGGTTTGTGATTACTGGTTGTGGGGGTTTTTGAAAGAGAAGGTTTATGTTACAAAATCCCCAACATCCATAACCTCATCAACTCCATTCACTTAGTTTTTGTCTCCGTCCAAACTGGGGGTGAGGTTTCTGGGATGCGGGGGTTAAAAGCAGGGATTCAGTCTTTTTGCCACCGAAATTGGTTCCCATTCTGATCATGACACTACGGCATTACCGGGGAAAGTCATTCACTACTTTCTGGCACATGTCCAAACTTATGGAATCTAGTTTGGGGGAAATGGCACTGATGAGGTCAAGGATGTTAGGGGTTTTGTTGCATACACCTTCTTAAATTTTATTCGGGTTTCCGGGGCACCCTGTGTATTTTTCTCCTTGGTTTCATCAGAACGCAAAACAAACTCGAGGCGTGGCTTCATGAATTAGTTGGTTTATGTGAATGGTCACTGGTGGAACACATTTATTGCCATAGCGTGCAACCCTTCAAAAATGCTTCTTGATTTCTTCGTAGGACTAGTTCGTTGCGAAACAATATTTTAAATAGTCGAGCTGTTTCGGATGACTCACACGGAGCCGGTGCCGTTGGTCATGTGCGCCCGGGCCCTCATCACCTTCCCGACTTCTCTGCAGATGGCCGTGTAGGAAAGGGTCATGATCACCCCGGGGACGACGAAGACGAGGAGAAGCATGTAGATCTCAAAAGACCTCCATAGCACGGGGGCATCGAAGTTCCGTGTACACCAGTAGTACTTCTTCCCTTCCACCTCCATCCCATTTTTTGGGTGCAGGACCTAAATACCAATGGGAAACAAAACGAGTCATTATATTTCTACTCATATAAGTAAAGTTTATACTGTGACTTTTTTTTAGGACTTTTACTGAAGTCCTTTCCCAAAATAGTGTCCTTTTCATAACCTTGTTTGCACGTAACGTCACTTTTTCCGTTGTTTTTGGTAGATTAATACAGTGAGTAACTTTAACACGTACTGAAATTTAGGCAACTAACCCAATCAATCCAAAAATATTCAAACTACACATATTTAAATAATGGTAACATGTTGAGCTCGATAAAAAGTTTAAACAATATTAATCTTATCAAATTATGTTTTGGGGGTAAAACTGGAACAACAAATCTAGTAAATCCATCCGGAATAAGTCAAGTTTCTAATCTTAACCATGGCACCATACTGAAGTCACCGTTCGTTGAAAACTTCCTTTTTTTTTAAGAGTAGCCCCTTTCTTGAAAGGAAAGACCTCACTAATACTTTCATCCTGTATATTCACTTGTCTGTCCCATGCTCTCGTTGTCTGACAAAAATTTTAATTGCTTCGAAAACCGGAATGCAGAGGATAGGTGGAAGTAGGGCCTTGAAGAGGGGGCAGGTAAGACAGTTTGCCCTGGGTCTCGGGGTCACTCCCTCCCGGCGACTGGATGAGGCCAGAGACTGAGGCAGGGGGGCCTCAGTCTCTGGCCTACCCCAGTCTATCATTTAGTGACGAGTAATGACTGACGAGGCTGGAACAGCACAGGGTTACGAACCTTGTAATACTGTCAATGGAATACAAGTTAGCAAGTCTCAATTTCGATGATTTAGCGATGAGTTTGTTAGCAAGAAAGCAAGAAGTGAAGTGTTTTTACAATAATGTGGGACCACTATGACGAAGAATGCAAACTAGTTTCAAGGTTCAAGATTTAGGTAGGGATGCCATGAAGCATTACTACCCATTAGGACATCCCATGTCGAGGTTGAGCATTTATATTTTCATATAATGTCATAAGCTAGATATATACGTGGCTCACAAAAGTAATGCAACACCCGCCGACTTTCACAAAAAGTCGAATTCTTCCGGCAACAAAAAAGATCAGCCCTCACTTGCCAGTTAATTTACATAGAGATCAACGTGTTCTACAGTTGCAGATACATTTGTAGGGCATTATGGTTACTACTAAGGACAAATCACAAAAAAGGTCCGGATAGGTGTTGCATTACTTTTGGCACTTGGCCACAAAGAGCAATTAGCTACATTTTGTTTATTCAAAGCATCTCAATACATGCCAAAGGCACTTGCAGATGTTCACCAACGTGTGTTGCCCCCTTTGGCCTTGATCACGTCTTTGATTCTCTCAGGCATGGTGGAATCGGCTTGGTACAGACCTTCTCCTTGAGACCATTCCAGAGATCTTTTTGACCTTGGATCGGTCCACGCAAGCTTCGCAGACGTCGATCTCCTTTGTTCCAAGCGTGCCAAATTGGGTTCAAGTCTGGTGATTGGGACGGCCAGTCCAGGATACGCATTTCGCTCTCCACGAACAACTCCTTGGTCTGCCCCGCAGTTTGTTTGGAATCATTATCGTACTAGAATACGTTGTCTGGCACTTGTAGATTATACCAGACTAAAGTATCCATTAGCTGTGTCCTTAAGAGGAATGGCCTAGACGCAAGAATCAAGAGGAAGAAGCCGCTCTTGAAGAAGACCTACCAGAAAAGGCGCCTCATATTCTCCAAGTACGCCAACTGGACCGTCGAAGACTGGAAAAAGGTTATCTGGGCTGATTAGTGCAAATTTATTATCCATGGTTCCGATAGACTACTGTCAAGTACTACTTGACAGTAGTCCAGCGATAGTTGATGGACAAGTACTACTGAAAAAGACCAGATCAAGCCTTAAACGATGCTCATGTGACCCCTACAGTCAAGTTTGTCGGTGGGAACATCATGGTCTGGGGCTGTATCACGTTTTAAGGAGTCGGCTACCTCTGCCGCATCATTAATGGACTGGATGGTGAGCTTCATTGCAAGATCCTCGACACGATGAGCTGGTGGATACTTTAGTCTTATACAATCTACAAGTGTTAGATAACGTATTCTAGCACGATAATGATTCAAAGCACACTGCGGGGCAGACCAAGGAGTGCGAAATGCGTGTCCTGGACTGGCCGTCCCAATCACCAGACTTGAACCCAATTTAGCACGTTTGGAACAAAGTATTGGAATAGATTGATGGATTTGCAAAATCTCCGCCATAATGCAAGGTTATTTGGTCCGTGATCATGCTTCTAGGGTTCATATAGTTGATGTGAATGGCTCCCAAAGTGTTCCTGAAAATCGTCGCTACGACTTTGCCAGCCAAGGCCTGAGTCTGAAACGTCCTGGATGGCGGAGAGTCCTTACGCCTCCACTGTTGATTGGATTCTGAGTCGTAAGGGGCCATTCAGATTTTATCCCCTATCCATAAACAAAAATCTTGCCGGGTAGTTGTGAAAGTAACGCATTCTCTTGACATATTATGAGACCGATGACTAGGTTTTCAGTTTTTATCACATTGGAATACTGCAAAAAATTTCTCCTGAGAAGTTCAAGCTTCTGGGTCTTTTGGATAAAAAAGCGAACGCTATTTAAAATGCAATAATTAAATGTTATATTTTACGAATGAGGTGAATGAATAAGTAGTCTTAGCATTATTTACATGATTCCTCTTCTTTGACGCCATGAATACTATTTTTTTTCTGTCCTTGATAATAATGATACCGCCTTCAAAAGGGATATTGGACTCGGAATATCATTGCAATATAACGGAATGGGAGAGGGATAGGACTGGACCATGCTAGTATCGGAGACATGAGTACCTGGATGGAGGCGGAGGGAGCCGCCAAGATGAACGACGAGATCCAGATGCCAATGATCACCTTCTTCGCCTGGCTGATCGTGCAAATGTATTTTGCCTTCATTGGGTGCAGGATGGCGTAATATCTATCAAGAATATATTAAAAAAAAAAACAACAACAATTTTCCGAGTTTCGGAAGGAAGGAGTAGAGATTTTACTGACCGTCCTTTCAAAATCGGGGTAAAGCTTTATATGGTCTAGTTTTCTATTCCTAGAACATATTCCTAGAGAGGCAGGTGTCCTTATAACTAGGGCTGTACCGGTGGCCACATTTGGCCGGTGGGCCGATAATCGATTTTTTCCTCATAACCATCGGCCGGTGCCGGTGTCAATTGTGGCCTATGGAAGAAATCGTCCATAAATTCAAATAGGCCTAATTGGAAGTCATGTGATACATCTCAGTAGGTCTCCTTGATATGATGAGGTCATTTTTGGTCTTGTCCAGCCTGTCTGTCTCTCTATGAGGCTGTCAGTGGTTAGATTGTTATTTACTGCTGCTGTTGAGAGCATTTAGTGACACATCTCTTGCAAAAGCATAACGTAAGTGGAGTATAACGCAATGACTTCCCTTCTTTACCGCTCCTTTCCTCTGCCGGTTCTTATAATCCGGCTGTAATATAATCCGATCGATATTTTTGTCTGGGAGAGACTGCCAGGAGTGCTTTAAGTGAGACAGGAGGACCAGCGCCTAGCCGCGTTTATACTCTCGCGTATTTTTTTTTCCACTTTGCCCGTCCTTTGGGCACCGGCACCGGTACCGGCGCAATAGGCCGATGGCCGATAATGCAGCCCCGGCGGCCGATACCGGTGTTAGCCGATGCATCGGTACAGCCCTACTTTTAACCCTTAAATTTTCCAGAATACAGTCGTCCCTCGCCACTTCGCGCTTCGACTTTCGCGGCTTCACTCTATCGCGGTTTTTTCAAATACTGTACAGTAATTTTTATTTTAATTGTAATACAGGGGTGTATAATTGACTCAGGCAACCGAGCGCGCGCTGTGTCATTTTCACTGTCTCGATCAACTTTTTAATGAATAAATTTGAAAAAACCGCGATAGAGTGAAGCCGCGAAAGTCGAAGCGCAAAGTGGCGAGGGACGACTGTAGTATGAAAAAAATGCAAGCATGATATGTCATAAATCAAAACCAAACCAATCACGTTCGAAAGAATCCTTTTGATTGAAAAGAGTAATTATCTTTGAAACATTTCGTATTCTACGAAACTATTTCGTACTTCTCCATCATTATCACTTCTTCTCTCCAAATTCTCACTTGTCATAACTTCATTAATACGCTGATATCGCTGATTGAGGAAAAAGCCTTAGAATGCCTTTATAACTCTTGGACGAGAATAAAATGAGAGCAGATGATTCTCATCCTTTTGGCTGACTTTCTCACATCTGCGAGGCTTGTATGCAGCCTCCGATTCTCTTATATATTTCGGTTTGCAACAGTTTCGAGATTTCTGCTAAATGCCCCCATTGAAACTATTGATTCTTTCTCAGGCTTAAATATTTTGACGTGTAATTCGAGATTTGCAAGGTAAAGCGAAAGTTGGAAGCACAACGGGCGAAAATGTAATTTCCATTTCTCCTTGAGGATCTCATTTACATATTGATCCTTCACAGGTAGAATGGGCATTCAAAGTGTCTTAATGCATTCACATAACCTTCTGAGGGTGGCAAATCGATGCAATTGTCGATATTAAGGTGCCCCGGCGGCCAGCCATCCCATGGGCTGTGAGTGTAGAGCCTCCCTCTTCCTAAAGATGTGCGTATTCACACTGGACTAATCCTGACGATGATTGCATCCTATACCATCTCTTATGACTAGCGCATGCTATAATTGAAAGATGAAATCCTGCAACTTTCAGATGGTAACGTACCAGTCGTCCCTCCATTTTTTTTTCTCCGATGCATTAGCTTTTAAAATAAAATTATTGATCTGCACAGGTCCTTCCCGTTAATTTCATGTCTGTTTCGGAAAGAATCCGAGCAGCCGGAAGGGACTTTCCACCGTGACTTCTGTTCGCCTGCTGATTTGAACATCGACCATGTCTTTCTGCGTTCTTCCCTTTAAAGGGTCACTTGGATTTAGCTTCTTTCCTCTTTAAGAGCTCCTATTCTCGTCTATTCCTTTGCTGCTTTTCATACCCTATTCCTCCCTCCCCACCCCCTGCATTAAGCTCACTTGATTCCGTCAGCTCGATCGTAATCATCGGTTAACGATGATCGATGATGTGTAACGAAGTGATGAAAGAGCATGGCACGATATCTTGTGCATAGGATGTCTCTCTTTCTTGTGCATCGGTGCAGAAGCATGAACCCTCATGGATTATGCCTTCCGATGCCTTCATAACGCGCTATGAATTCGTCATGAGGCCAATATGAGTTGGGGGTCAAAGGGATCCGATGAGGAGGGGGAGAGGAAGGACCATCAGAAGTTTTCAAAGAGAGATTAGAATTATTAATTAATTATTAATGAAATAAATTTGCGGGAGAGTTAACAGAAATAATAAAAAGCGGAAAAAATCGAACATGATGAAACGAAATATGAATATACGTAAAAACTACACTTAAGAAAATAAGACCTTCTCCGCAGGGCATAGGGACATGAGAGGATTCTGGGACATGATGTGAATCACCTTGAGACTTCCAAAACATTCTAATATATATATATTAGAAAGATATATATTGTTTTTTTTGAAAAAACACTTTGTCCTCTTCAAGAAAACTCATCTCGTTATTTTGCAGTAGTTTGGCGTTTCCTTCGCAAATGAACCTTTCGTTCTCCGCTAGTCGGTCGGCTGATTGGCTTGCTTCCATTATGTGGGACTGAGGCTAGCCTCTGAGTCAATGACCTGGGTTAGTCCCTGGTCTAGGACTGATGTCAAGGAATGGGCATAGGCCATTCGCCTTCTATGGTCGACTGCGTCTCTCCTCTTCCACTACCTTCTCTTTCCCTATCTTATTTTTCTGTCGGTCAGGGGACAGTTAAGACAGTTGGCTTTGGTTTACCTCCACTCACTCGGATTGCAACACATGATCCAATTTACCCAGTGAATTCTCCCACTTTTTGTGGAACCTTCTCTTTTTCCGCTCTTTTCTTATCGAGCCATGGATTGTGGATAGACCTTTCGGGCACGGATCCCACTAGAGCTTAATTTCTTCATAGCTGTCGGTTAGAGATTGCTCTCCAGAGCAACGTCAGTTCCATTTTCACAGGACACTTTGCTCTGCTTTCAATTAACAACCTTTCAGCTATACTCTATCATTTTCTTCTAGTTTATTTTGCCTCTAGTGGGATTTCCGAAAAAGATCTCTCTACACTGAAGTGCCCCTGATGAGGATCCTGCTATTCTTTCAGATCCCAAAGGCTCCTTTCCTTTCATTCTCCAATGGGTTCACACGCTCACTCTAATTTTTTTCATAAGTTTTGCCTCTCCTTTAGGCACTTATATCTGCAGCTTGCAAACCGGCCGATGGTCGATGGTGCCAATAGGGCAACGTTGGCGGCCGATACCGGTGGTAGCCGATACAACGGTACAGCCCTAGTTTAAATGCGTTTCTTAAGTAAGACAAACCCCTATGAGTCTCAGCACATCCGCGGGAGGTCCTGTGGACATCCCTTGCAGGATCTTCGTACGTCCCAGGAGCTCAAATATACTGTACAGGTTGAGGTTAAAGTTCCAAGCATGTGTCTAAAAATAAATGTTCATGGTTTGGTTCAGATATCTGAAAGCTTCAGTGCATAATGCTCTGCTGACTGCAGGAATAAGGACTTGTCAACATCAGGAAGGAACCTCAGCTCTGAGTGCTACTGTGGGAAATTTTGTGGAAACAAACTGTGCTACGGCATTGTAGGGATACGACAACAATATTGCATGCAGAGAAGCACATTTGAGGTAAGATTGAGATTATGATAACAAAAATACAGGTTGCATTAGCATTATAATCTCAACCACCAAGTACGTACCCAGATCCCACCCGAATCTGGGTACGTAAACTTGTCGCTGGACGCCTTCCATGGTAGACGCCATGTTTCCAGAGATGGAACGATAGGAATGACTCGATCTCTAAGACCGCGTAAAAGCATTTAACTAGGGTCAGGTTTCTCTGTCATCGCCCAATGCATTCAGTGTTTTACGCCATTAGTCATAGCCCGGGTCGCAACTGAATGCACCCATTGGGTGCACTCAATTGTGACTCGGGAAAAATGTATGGAAATGTATGGGAAACGGGCATGCAACGCATCTGCGCTGCATGCACGTCTTCCATACATTTTTCATACATGTGCACACGTTGCACACATGTGTTTAATGTGTTGCACGCACCAAGGTATTAAATTAACACCTGCTTTGAAACTGCTTCTCTTTCGGAGAAGGAAGCCCTGGAAGCTTTGGAGATTGTGAAATCTGTTTGGGGATTAGCATGAAGGTAGCTCAACATGACTGAATCGTATGTTATTGAGTAAAAGTTACTCATGAAAAGCGATTTATATATTGCACCATGTTCAACTCCGATGGATGCTTTTAAAAAGAAACTAGCGTTAACTCCAGTTTTCCTCTCTATTCGCTCATCTTCCCTCGCTGTTTTCCTTCGGAGGAGCAAAAGAAAGAAGTAAACGTCAAAGTAATTTTCCTTTCTTTTCATTTGAATTAGAGAAGAATGGGAGAAAATCGTAGATAGCACTTCTTTTTTATCCCTACTGAATTCGAATGGACGTAGGGCTTATACATTTAGCGGAGCACTTATATTCCTTCATGGTTCATGAAGCCAGAGAAAATCAATCGTTGACGAGATGAGCATGGAGGGAAAAGAACCCATATCACCTTAATCCGGCTCCGGTTTAATTGCATGTAGCACGGTTGATGGATGGTATATGTGAGGGAGAAAGAGAGGCATCTCGAGATGCACGAGGTACAATTACTGCGCATCCCACCGTAGATGAGAAACACAGGAGATTCCAAGAGCTGCAGAATGGATTTAATTGAAGTGGAGAGAGCTACTTATTTGGGGAAATGTCAGAAGTTATCATAGCTATCGTCCAAATTGTGATTATCATGTGATGTCTCTTCATTTGCAATTAATTGAAATTTATTGAATCTCCAGAGACCTTAGTCAAACGAGACGTTGTCGCAAATGTGATACCTCACATAGGTTTCCCCCTATCCGTTATTTCATGGAAAATAATTATTTTAAATATTTTTTTCAATGCAATTTTAGGATGCATCCTACAAAAACTTATCATCACCATCTTCATGAACCGCTAAGGAATGTTTCAGAATGAAACCTATCACCACCACATCGCGATACGATTCGAATGAGTGTATCCGCTGTCTGAGGAAAGACCATTCCGATGTCTAATTGGGGATGAAACTCCCCGCAGGAACGAGAGAGCGGCTTTCCCATCACATTTATTGCTTGCTATTCGAATCTTAAAGCGAAAAGAGGGAGCAACACATAATCAGCATAATATTCCATCCCCCCTCCCAAAAAAAAAATGTCGTCTCCCTAATTCTTCTCGAGTGGAATTCGCCTTCACGGTAAACTTTATATCATTGGAAAGTTTCCTTTGTCTCCTTTGATTCGATACACTGGTTGACACGAAATGATGTGCCCGGGTCGTAGTGCAGGTTCCCGAATAGGCAGAAAGTCCCAGTTTTTTTGTTCGATAGTTGAGATCTGCTTTCGGAAACCAAAGTTGATTCATTTAGTTGATGCGTTGCAAAATTATGGATATTTTCCTTTTATTCAATTAAAACAAAAAAACATAAATTCAATAATCAGTATGGCCACCATCTTCCAGAACCTCCTGAATACGTTTCGGCATTAAACAAAGAGGACTTTCGAAGAGTTCAGTGTCCTCTTTGAGTTCATGAATAACGTTTGGGCCCATGCCAACTGTGCATTCGTTCTTCCACAATCTTTGATGATTTCGCCCAAGTTTTCCGTCGGGTTAAGATCAAGCGAGTAATCGGCCCAGAAATCACAGCCCCCAAATCGAATTCCCTGATTCCTGATGAGATTTGCTCATCCGATTTTGTCTATCGACCGCCATTCGAAAAATCGGTGAAGCATTCCATCGGCTCCTTGTTCCAAGCGTTTTGAAGTCCACCGAATTGACTGACGCACAGTCGTCGCCTCCCAATTCCGATCAATAAATTCAGCACCAGCAACTGGAATTTTTCAGAAGGCGATCGCTTGAAGACGATCAGCTAGGAGTGTTTCCTCTGAATCAAAGCTCATTCTGCAACAGGGTGACGGTAAAAATCACTCAGACAAAGAGAAAAAGTGCACAGAAAATGCTGACATAAAGCAGCGGTAAGACTGCTCGATGCAGCATTGGGCTAAAACACTAAACTTTCCAACGAATCTACCAAAATAGTTGATTGTTTGGTTTCCAAATACAGATTTTATTACTTCATCGAACAAAAAAAGGAATTTCGATCTATTTGGGAACCTGCTTTACGGCGCCTCATTCCGTGTCACCCTATAAAATACATGAGTTAAATTCGGTGATATCCACGACACGAAATAGCTTGCGGAAAAAAAACAATTCTGGTGAAAATTACTGGAGCTGAAAGCAAATTTTCCCATGAGTACAATGTATTGTAAAAGAACGCTTTTAGGCAAGCATTTAGTTGCTGTAGAATGAATAGAGTTCAGCTGAAAGTGTCATAGTGCCAGTCAGTCGTAATCATGACCAGTCGTAGTTGTAGTCATATTCATGGTCGCAGTGAAAGTAATATATTCTTAAATTATTATTATCGATTTGATTCAATGTTAATGCTTTATATCTTCGCACCGGTTTCAAGTGAGGTTAAGCCCGAGGTAGTAACAATTTTTATCCATAGGAACTTAAGCTCATAACTTGAAAGTTTTTCTTCCCCTTTCATGATTTCTCCCCAAAATGAATCGGGAATATAACTTTTTCTTTGGCAATTGAAAGTTCTAGAGTATCTCTGCTTTCCATTCCAGGATTCCATGACCGAAGCGGAATTGCAAGTTTCTGAAGGGGTTTTCCGCAAGGGAAATTGGGAAAGAGTCAATCTTTGTATCCGAGAAGTAATTTAACATCGGAGTGCATTGTCCAAAAGAAACATGGAGAATGAACCTTAATCCAATCTGATCGGCGTCAAATCCAGGTCTTTTTTTTTCTCCACTGCGGCACAATGCACTGGACAGTTTCTGCTCGGCCAAGCACAAAGAAGACGGA